AGGGAACTGAATATGCTCCCAGCGTAAATGGATGGATCTCCTTAAGGATTACGATTGCAAGATATCTTACCATCCAAGGAAAGAAAGTGGCTGATACACTGAATCGCAACACCTCTGGCATGATCGTAAAACTAATAGCTTCTGAATGCAATACTTTAGAGACTTTATAAGAATTAGAATTAGACTAATAATTAATAGTTCACAAATGGGGGAATGTATATAACCAGCTTGAGAATCGAGCTAGTATTGATTCAGAAAATAAAATATGCTCAAGAAACTAACTCTGTTATAGAGACCTTGAAGAAAAAAATTGAACAGGGTTTAAGACCTAGTTTCAGAGTTCATGATGATGCGTTGCTTCGATTCGGAGGAAGATTGTGCATTCCTGATGACTCTAACTTGAAGAGACTCATCTTAAAGGAAACACATAATTTTAGATTTATCATACACCCAGATATCATCAAAATGTATAGAAATTGGCAACTTCAGTATTGGTGAAATGGGATGAAGAAGGACATATCTGAATTTATTAATAAATGTCTCACCTGTTAGAGGATCAAAGTCGAACATCAAAAAATAGGGAGATTGCTTCGACCCCTACCAATCCTAGAATAAAAGTGGGAACACATTACTATGAACTTTGTGATGGATTTACCTAGAACCAGATTGAACTATGATATTATTTAAGTGATAGTGGACATGTTAACAAAGTCAACCTATTTTCTACCTATAAAAACTACAGACTCTTTAGATAAACTTGACATGTTATATATTAAGGAAGTGATTAGACTTCATGGCATTTCGGTATTAGTAGTTTAGATCGAGATGCTCGTTTTACCTCTAGATTTTTGACAAGTTTTTAATAGGGTTAAGACACCACTTTATCTTTCAGCACGACATTTCATCCATAAACGGATGGTCAAACAGAAAGAATCATTTAGACATTAGAATATATGTTTATGGCTTATGTACTAGAGATTAGAGGAAATTGAGATGACTATCTACCATTGATTGAATTTATCTATAACAATAGCTATCAGTCCAGTATTAGTGCAGCTCTATATGAAGCACTTTATGGTAGACCCTGTAAATCTCCTATATGTTGGGAAGAGATTAGAGACAGAAAATTAATTGGACCCGAATTAGTTGAAAAAACCATATCAAAGATTGTCCTAATTAAGAAAAATATTCAAACCGCTCAAAATAGATAGAAGAATTATGCAGAAACTCGTAGAAAGAGCTTAGAATTTGAGGCAGGAGATCATGTGTTTTTGAAGGTGTCACCAATGAAGGGCCTTATGAGATTTGGAAAGAAAGACAAATTGAGCTCTTGCATTGTTGGACTGTTCGAAATACTGGAGAGAATTGGAACTACTGCTTACCGATTGGCATTGCCACCAGAATTAGCTCACGTCCATGTTGTATTTTATGTATCCATGTTACGCAAATATCATCCTGATCCATCGCATGTAATTCAGTATAAAGAGATTCCTATTGAGGAAGATATGTTATATCAAGAAATGTTCATAGACATATTGGATAAATAAGAGCGAGTATTGAGAAACAAGACTATTCTAGTAGTCAAAGTACTCTAGCGACATCATTCACCAGTAGAAGCTACTTGGGAGACTGAGGACTCGATGCGAACTTGATTTCCTCACTTGCTCTAAAGACATATCAAATTTGGAAGACCAAATTTTGTAAGGAGGGAAAAATTGTAACATCCACCCCTAAATAAATAAAAGAAAATGTGAAAAATAAATAAAAATTAGAATTTAGATTTAAATAAAAAAGTTTTAAGAATTTGAAGTTATGATTGTTATTCGAGTGTATATATGTTCTTTCGAGAGTATGTAGATATACTTTGATGATTGTAAATGATATTTGAATGAAATTCTGAAATCCGATCAGAAACATGTGAAAATTGTGAAAATAATGAGTGAATTTTACTTTGAAACATTAGTATTGCATTTGTCTCATTTTGTGTATTTTGTATAAAATCTTATCTTGGTTGAGAACGAAAATACTTATTGAGTTGATGAAAGTTCTAAATTTTACTTTGATATTTTTTAGATGAGAAAGAAAAGTCAAAACCGCTGCCAAACAAGTAGAACCTGTAAAAAGGGTTCCTGATTTTGTACATTTTGTTCATATTCTAGAAATTTTCGTTTTGTTTTATTAAAGTCTAAATTTTGATCTCGTGTTCTGTATATATAACTATTATATATATCACATAAAATGTTAGGTTGTATGATAATTTTTTACCAATGCATAATGTATATTTTGTGAGTCCATTGCATAAAAATGACATGAGTAAGAATTGTACCTCATTTTGAGTTTGGGGTGTTATACCAACCTCACTTCTAATTTTTTTTAAAGAAAAGAATTAAATTTTGTTTTTGAATCTAAAAGTAAAAATGTGAATAGATTTGATTCAATTATATATGTACATAAGTCATGATTAAGTTTTAAGGATCGTATAAATATAAAATAGAATTGAATGAAAATACATTAAGTTTATTATCTTTTTCTTTTAGTAGCAATAAGTTTGAAATTGAAGCTCATGTTATTATTACCACAATTTGTCTGAAAAATCTAATAAGTAACCAAAATAATTTCTCCCTTTTTACTTTCTAACTTAAAAACCACATATATATATATATATATGAATATATTTATATTAATTAGATGCCATCATAACATACCATCTTATTAGGTTTTAATTGGGTAAAATCTTATTGAGAATACACAGGAAAAAAATATAAGAGTGAGTTAGAGAATTAGAAAGACATGAAATTTGAATTGGACTTATAGAAGTAACCTCGTTGATGTCAAGGATAATATTCTTTATTACGTAAACAATAACTAATGGTTAAAAATCAATCTGGAAAAGACGAAATTTAATCGATAATTATGTATGAAAGTTGTCTTATACTCTTATGATAGACAAAAGAATTTATGAATAAAAAGAGGAAAGTGGTTTTGGGAGGATGGAAATAGACAAATTGATCTGAAACAGACAAAGCATTAATCTGGCTTGATCTTCGAAATTGATTTTGTTTGCTTCCATGAACTGTCATTACTACACTTACTACTTGCAACACACCTTGTTTGGTGACTTAGAGTTCTTCGTCAACTTTAAAAATTTGTCTGTGTAGATTCCAATTGATCCCTTATTTCTTTTATCCATTGAGATTTTATTGAGCTTAATTATATAATTAAGTAATAATAATGATGATGATAATAATCTGTTCTTCTCATTAATTTGATCCTTCCAAATAAATTAAATATTGTTTGAAAGAGTGAGTAGGGTTTTAAAAAGTTTGAGCCTTCAAATCTGCATTACAAAGAAATAAGAAATAGATTGTTAATGAGGAAAAACAATGAAGTTTTCTTGATAGAATTTTTACTTTTTTACTGAACTTATGCTTGGACTTCTACTGGCAAGAAAAGAGATTTTGTTCTGTTTATATATATATATATAGTTTCCCTTCTGTTTATATGTACATAAATAATTGCTAAGAATAATATATATCATATTACTTGTTAACGTATATGTATATTATATTATTTGTTAACAGTTATTATATATTATTTATTATGTCTACACATATATTTGTTATAATATTTAAAAAAAAAAATTATTAATTGATCTAAATCAGCACCGAACTGAAACTGAACTAAAAAAAAAAGACGAAAAACTTCATTCTAACTGAACTTGATTTGAGAACTGGATCAAAGATCGTTCACTTTTGTTCCAAGGTTCTGTTCAGATTATACTCACCCATTGCTGTAATTTTATATGTAGCAACAGGCAGATCTTAAGTTCTTAAACAATGTGTCTACAATTCATCGGCTTTTAGTTAAGATAATAATAGTAATTATTATTATTAGTAATTAATTTGCAGCAAAAGTACTCAAATTTATCGGTTCTGTTAATTGAATCAAATGAATACATGGCTGAGAAATAAATATATTACGAAGTATTTCTTTAATATTCAACTAAAATACTATATATATATATATATAATTAAGTGGGTCAATCAGTAGAGTAGCCTTCACAATCAATATATATAAAATCTGGGTTCTGCTGTATCCTGTCCTGTGTAAATGAAAACGAAAATGAAAATGCCTTGCAGTCCTGTCTCTGAAAAAAAAGGTTTAAATCTAACAGGGCTGGTTCCGCTGGCAATTCAACGTCCCGGCTTGCCGAGTGAGGAGGGAAACGAGTTTTCCGGACTGGGGAGGCACCCGATTCGGCCATGGCACTGGATTTGCTCCGCCTACTGATCCCGATGTCACGAAAAACGCTCCGTTTAGAAACAAATCATTCTCTGATCTCCACATCCAGTTCTTCCATTCTGATTCCAGTGCATAATCCCTCTTTGTCACCTGCACACACACACACACACACATATATATAATTTAATCCCCAAGATGATACTGGGTTTTCTTGGTAAACATGATATAGATATATGTACATATATAAATACCTCCTTGGCGAACACATTTGGAGGAGCAATGAAGCGATTGCCCTGACTGATGATGGTAGGGCGGCTGCTGCCTCCAATGGCGTACATGAGCCAGTGAGTGTAGTCGTTGTTCACCACATGGACCAAACCCCACCTACACCTCGGCATCCTCTGCACCAACCCCTTCCCAAAGTGGTTAAACGCCACCGTTATTTGCATCTTGGCGTCTTCCGAGTACCCATCACTCGCCCCAAACAACATCACCTGCATCGATAAATGGATGCATAGACACCAATTATAACACAATAGAAATCATTCTTTGTGTTGTGTTAATTAGAACTGCATACCTCGTTGTGTTTGGTGAAATGGGAGTTAGAGATTGTGATGCCGGTAGAACCTTGAATGACATCAATCATGCCGTCAGCACATCTAGACATGGAAACATGATCAATCCAAATGTTAGATGATCCGAAGACGGAGACACAATCGCCGTCACTCTGGGTCCTGAATCCATAATGGTTCTCTGAATCCCTCACCAAGCCTCCCGAACCAGGGACAATGTGGTGAAAATGAATGTTGTGGATGATGACATTATTCACGAACTGGAGAGTAAAGCCACACCCATTTCTGATCTGCACATTAGCTCCTCTTCCATCAATCGTCTTGTCACTTGTGATAAGCAGTTCTTGTCTCAGCTGGATTATCATGCCGTGTTTGAAGACGATCCATAGTGGCCCATCTCGGGTCACTGCATGGCGTAGAGTTCCGGGTTTAGGGTTTACCATGTCGTCGTCGGAAGGATCTGTAACAACGTAAAAACGTCCGTTTTTGCCGCCTTTGGTGTCGCGGCCAAACCCCATGCCGCAGTCAGCTAGCCTGAACCTGTGTCTTGCCCATTTGCGTCTGCAACGCCAGCATGCGTCTATGGGGTTGTGAGCCTCGCATGGACCTTTATATGCCGCCAGAGATCTTCTTGAGCTGTTGTGGTTCGCAACAGCCCTGCATGCATGCAAACAAAAATAAGTACAAAAGAACATATCGATGCACATATGCATATATATATATATGTATATATCTAAAAGATGCGCCACCATCTTAAGGATACCCATATCCATCTCACAACAAAAAAGGTGAGTCCAGCTCATTTACAGGCGTTCCGGTCCGCCATGCAAAATTCACCTTTCTGTGACATGGGTACTACAAGTTCAATTTGTGTGTGTGTGTGTGTGTGTGTGTGTGTGTGTATCTACACGCATATGATGCTCGACGAAGTTAGTATATTCATCCCACAAGAGAAGCGGGTTCCCCCCATTTGCAGGAGGAAGCCTTCATTTTGTGACACAGACACTCCAAATTGAATATATATATATATATATATATATATATATAAACAGATGCTTCAGTACCTTAAGTCACTCGTATCTATCTCATTGTCTAGATTCTCCAGCACCTTATTTCCAATTACCGAGGTGAGATTCACTCTGAAGGGTACCCTTAAACCTTACGTATATAACGTAATTTGTTTATTTTTTTAAAAAATTATTTTCTGTCTTACTTTTTGATCAAATTGATTTCTATAATTTAAAAAAAAAAAAAATTCAATTTAGTTCCTACCATTTATTTTAACACCATTAACTTATTTTAACCTATAATAATAACAATATGATAATGATATGCAAATTTAACCTATGATAATACAATGACAATACGTAAATTAAATTAAGATGCATGATGAGAGAAGGTGGTAAGATAAGGTTAAGGTAAATAATGATGATTAAACTAGACGCACATGGCAACGCGGTGGTTTAAATGATCGGTGACTTCATGGGGACGAGGGTGATAAGCGTTGACTGTATGGTTCTTGGCTATGGCTTCTCGTTGCTTCCAATACTCATCATCTATCACCGCCATGAGCGTACGGTTTTTGGCTATGACTTCTTCTTGTTGCCTCCAGTACTCAGCATCTATTACGGCAACCCGGGCATTCGTCTCTTGAATTATAACAGCAAACCACATTAATGAAAACAAGAACAGAATCAACTTTCTGTAATCTCCTGCCATTGTCGATCGATTCTTTAAAGCTTTTTATATCAATTTATGTTATATGGGGTTTGAATCGAAATGGCCGAGGTGGGGCGGCTCGCTGCCGGTCTGACTGATAGACAGGCAGGGGACGAGCTGAAGCCGAGAAGAGATTCGATTGATGCGCAAGGCCAAGGTTTGGTCGGATGCAGAGATATGAGTTAAATAATGCCGAAGAGAGGCTGGAAAATAAGAGGACAGGAGAGGATAGACAACTTTCCCGGGAATCAGTCAGATTGTCTGAATAAGATTTGAAAGGTTTGTTTCCATTTTTAACTTCCTTGACAAGTTTAGCTACGTACCTTTCTCATATGTGGATATATCATAACGATTAACTAATTAATTAATTTTTTACTTCATTCCGTAATTAAGTTTCTAACTTATTTATAAATGGTCTTCCGCCAAGCTGCTAAGGAAATCAATTGCGTTTAATTAAGAATCTTAATATTGATAATATTTTCACAACGTGCATGATTTAAAGTCTCATCTCAGTTCTAGTTAATTCATTATTTATTTTTGTTTTTTAAAAAAAAAAAATAAGAGAGTTCTGAAATTAAAATATAACTCATTTTTATATAATAGTTAACATTTTATGATATGTAAACATGTTACAATTTTTATTAACATAACATATCACATGATGAAATATTAAGTTATAAAAAATGAATAGTGTTAGATTTACGATATTTGATTCAGTTAAAATAAATTAATTTAATATATTTTAAAGATATGGTGATTAAATTGTAAAAAGTTCTATTAAAGTTATTACGTTTGTGTACTAAAAAAATATTTTATAATAATTAAATTTTTTTATAATCAAAAATAGAATGCAATTGAATATATCAAAACTGTTAATTAAATGCAATAAAATATTAGATAACCAATTACATGTTCATGCAAATTTCAAACGTGTAACTTGACAATTGACCCAAATACATTTATTAATAGTACAAACTATATCTTATTTGTGGTAAATATGTACATATATATATATATACGTATACACCATATGAAGAGGTAGCGTGCACCAATTGAAATTTATAATCAATTATGAATTATTTATAAGTTGGTTTAACAATACTTATAATTTCTATCCTAAAATAAATATTTGTTATTATATTTTATTATTTGTCTTCTAGTTATAATTAGTAATATTTTTATATAGAGGATAATCTTCTAACTTTTTCAGTAACAATAATTTTTTAACTTCAATTTGACTGGATAGAAATTGAAAACCCAATTCATTGTAGTTTCCTCGTTGACTGCCCGCTGTTTGTTTTATTTTTTCTTCTCTTTTCAATTTTTTCTCTAGACGGTGCATGTTATTAATTATATATGCTTTCTTTGCACTGAACTTATACACCTCTTTTACTATTCATATTTCATAATTAACTGTAATATAATCTATACTGTAACATGATAACGATTATTTAATTTATATAATATAAAGATACTATTTTTTAAAAAAATTATGTCTTTCCCGAAACCAGGCATTATTTTGAGACTTTTGGACGTAATGTCCTCATACCCCACCCACAATGTTGTATACGAATGTCTGCACATTTCAAACGGCAACAAAGACTCTAAAATTAACTTGCACAGACGAAATTCGAGTTCGGGTCTTATCACACAAATGATTGATGATAGAAACCAAGAACTCGAGAGTAACGAAAACGAAATAAGTGATTTATTGTTCACTTGTTCTTAAATGACAAGAATACGCATTGCAGCTTTAACCATCAATGATTTTTGCTTGCAAAATTTTACAACGTCGAAATCTAACATATAGATGCTTTGACAAACAATAGATAATGTCACTTGTTGTTCCCATACAGATGATTTTGTTCCTTGCTTCAACATCGGTAGGAGAATATCCCAAGCAGGCCTTTCTCAGATGAGCAAACCATGTGCGGACAAAGAATGGTTCCAGTAACTTTCGGTTTAAGATTCAAAAGCACTTCCCTATGTAAACGTACACTGTACTGATCTAGTACTCTTCAATTTGCTTTGTACTATAGATTTTTTAGAACTTCGCACCGGACAATTCTATAGTTGACTGCGTATATATATACTATTCACGTGTATAAAAAACATCATATTATTTGCACCGGTTGTATTAAGACGCTTCCCAAACATTGTAGTCCCGTCCTTCAAGGGCTGAAGACCATCTTTGGGGCCCACTTGAAGGTTCGTAATAACCCGGTCCAATCTTAACTGCAACTTTTTCATCAATGATGGCCGCATATACGTCCCTTTCTGCTTTAGTAATTTTAACCTAAAACAGGAAATTGAATAGTTGAATTTAGTGGTTTAGTTTTTTTATTATCTGTATATAATTAACTGGACCTCGCCATCTAAGAGTCTCTACACCAGATCATAAACCAGAAAGTGCATTTGTATGTATTTTATGTAAATTAAAATCTGTTTCTGTATACTTCCCCATATATTTCTTCAAATTTTATTTGTTTATCTGCGTCAAGAACCTGAAAATATCAACTTTTATGTTAACAGGTAAAGCAAATGCTTCGATACTTACAGTACTTCGGCAGTTGATTTTGTTCCGGTTTCTGATAGAGATAAGAGTTGCAATTTCAGACCGATAATGAGAAAAGATGTGATCATAGAACACTGCCGGTGTTCCTGGATGGGTCAAAATGTAAGCATATCCTTGCATCTCCTTTCCACCAGGAAACCTCCAATGACCCTGCAGCAAGAAAGGAAAACTTAAGGAATATACAGAAGCCATATAATAGTCCCAGAACATCAAACAAGGATTCCACCAGCCCAGAAATGTCAAATTCAGTCTTTTCTACTTCTACACTCTTAATCCAAGGAACATTACCAAAAAGTCCATTTTAGCAGCTAACTAATACTTTCAAAAATAAATTTTGAAAAAATGGACAAGGTTCCTCTATTTAGCAGCTACTCATTTTCAGCGTGGGTTTCATCGAAAGTTATCTGAAACTAAAAGAGATCATCTAACTTAGCTACAAAACAAACTGAATCCATAAAAATACTAGTAAAATATCATTTCACCAGTATTATTCCGATCAATTCTTGATTTGACAATAGTTAAATTTAATCAACTTCAGTCTCCAGGAAGAATGTGTTGTGCATGTGCTGAGAGAGAGAGTGAGTGAGTGAGTGAGTGAGTGAGTGATTGAGTGAGAGAGTGAGAGGATGTGGGTGGAATTTCTCAGGGAAAGAACAGTATAAATGTCAGTAGAATTCAGCAGTCCTTTGTATGAGTTACAAACCTGGGTAGAACCAGTGTCATGATTCTCAATAAATGTAACAGCACGAGAAGGCCACCATCCAACAACCCCAGGAGGCTTTCCATTTTGATCTGATAATCGCCAATATTCACATCTTTCTAGTGCCTAAATGAAGTATATTAAAGTGAATAGAATATCCTACACCGAATGATAGTAGAAAAGAAATAGTAAAAGGAGTACAGAGAAATAAAGAATCCAATTAAGAACTTAATTCAAAGAATTTGTATAGAACAATAATTTCATATCACATCTCTGAATGTTTAAAAAGGCATCCAATAGAGGTGGAAGAGTTAGACAACTCAAAAGACCAAGTGATGTAAGATTTTATTAATGTTGACAAAAAGGTTCCAACTGCATAACTGTCTTCAGAGATTCTAGAATATGAATGAGGCACCACCAGAAGAAGTGAGCCTCGTAAGATTTTAAGTTCATTAGTATAAATAATTGACTTCTTGTCCGTAAGCTATTAAATATTTGGTAAAGCTATTGCTCCGCGATCTTCGAAATCAGCAACCGTTTTAGAAGAACTTGCATATGAACTACATATATTGTTTTGCCTTTAAAACAATTTTAAAAAAGTGTTTAGCATTTGAAATTTTGACAAAATGACCAAGAAATGACAAATTAGCTGAATTTATCCTCATAGTTCAATTACTAATATATCGCACAAGGAAATCAACTCTATTTTCATCACCCACATGCCAAAGTTGTAGTTTTCGTTTGAATTCATTTTTACAACTAAAATTCAATTTCCTAAAATATCATCTCCAACAGTTAAAAGTATCTCTCTTACAATTCCCAAATTAAAATTTTGATCTCTTAATTCTCAATTATTTAAAAATGCTCAATTCTCAAAATTGCAAAAAGGAACAGATGAATAAGATGCATATTTGATGCTTTGAAGATACAGAGAGAAGTAAAAGCAAGAACATTGAGTGGTTTTGTCCAAACAAATTGTCAAACCAGTTTTTTATCGCCCAATTAAAGTCCACACAAAAAACTTATATCATTAGTATTTTTTTAATTAGATCTACCAGACAGTTTGAGAAAATTGCTACACATTCTGCAACCTTTTTTTAATTAAAACCAGTTCATACCTAATTTGAGGAAACAAGAAACTAATCAAAACAGGTCAGTACCTACCTTGACTGTGCTCTGCATAAATTTTTGGACTAATTCATATGTCTACTTCCATGAGAACAACCATGAAGAATGAGGCAGAGGCATAGCTAGAATCACTATCTAAATAGAGTAATGTATTTCTTCTTTTTTTTTTTTTCAATTAGATCTACCAGACAATTTTAGAAAATTGCTACACATTCTGCAACCTTTTTTAATCAAAACCAGTTTAAACCTAATTTGAGGAAACAAGAAACTAACTAAAACAGGCTCAGTACGTAACTCGACTATGGTCAGCATAAATTTGTGGACTAATTCATATGTCTACTTCCATGAGGCCAACCATGAAGAATGAGGCAGAGGCACAGCTAGAAGCAATATTTAAATCGGATAATGTATTTTTTACTTCTTATCATGAGACAAAGTTAGAAACATAAATTGCAAAACTCGAAAGACATATTCTCCATCCATTTATCTTCAAACATTTGAAACAACAATAATTAAATGAACGCCTACCGAGTGAAGGATCCCTTTTGTTGTGACATCAAATGCACCAGCAGTTCCGTTTGTTGCATTGATCCAGTCAATAATTCTTTGTCGATGTGCATCTTGATTGTGATCCATCTCACCATATGTGTAACTGAGAGAATCCCAAAATTCACCCACAGCAAAGTATGGTTCACTTGCATCCAAGTAGTCCTTGACATAACCACCCCAAAATCCTCTAACAAAATCCAGCCTCCATCCATCATATCCAATTTCTTTTCTGCACTCACAAATAGAGAAATATTGCAACTTCCAATAGATTATAATTCAGAAAGAAACAAATTTGGAAATGCTGAATAGAGACATGTAGATAGCTGGTTAAATCATCACCATGCTGATCAACAACTTCTCATAACCAGTCCTACTGTTCAGCAACATGTAGTATGGACAATTTAGCACACTGAAATCAACACTATGGTAGTTAATTTACATAGTACACCACACAACCCTTGGTCCATGTAGACCTCATAAGGATGAAAACCAAGGTTTAAGTTCTTGTTTTCAGCATTTGAAAATTGACCATGAGCATTGATGCAAAAACAGTAACATGCTAGCGTTTGCCCAATAAACAGAGAGGAGGATCTAATTTGTAGCTCCAGTATGAAACTATTTGGATCCGGATTTTTTGCTTATAGGATACCAAGAGGAAATGCTCCAAGTTGGTCAAGGAAGAAGAAAAGAGCAACGCTAAAAGAAAGCAGAACTCTATAAGGAATAATTAGAAACAGATGAAGGATGTATAGGTATTAACCTCAGCCAGCATAACCATTCCTTGATATCCTTCCTAACGAACTCTTGTGAATGATCAATGTTCGGAGCAGCATGGAAATTATCTCCACTGCTCTTGTTGCCCCTCCCCTGCATCATAGAGAGAATTCATTTACACACAATACAACTTAGACATCTCTAGTCCATGAATAGTAGAAAATCTTCAAATTCCCCATTGTTGAGCTATAAACAATTGATATTCATCGGATTTCAGATCACCTAAGCAAAAAAAAAGGGAATGAAAAAACAAATTTGCTCCCTACTGCCACCAAAACAAAGAGAACAAAACAAGATCCATTCTCTTGCTGCATTTACAAAGTCTGAGAATATAACTTGTATTGCAGATAGGTAAGTGAAAAATAGATATGGAATCTTCTCATTCAAATTTTGACATTAATATAAGAAATTTGGTAATGAATTATACAATATTATCACCAACCTTGTAAATGTGCCAGTAGCAATTTTAACCCCTGCGACAAGCACTATTTCTCTGCTGCTGTTGAACATATCTAAAGTCACAACCAGTTCAAGCAAAAGATGTTCATATAAATGGGACAATCCAGGATCAATTTTTATCATATTTATTTTGTTGAGACTTGCAAGGGACAGTTGTTATCTGCACAAGAACACATACAATCCACTGTCCCAAGCAATCGGCACTTTCTGCTCAAAACACTCAACCACTCAAAGGAGGTTTGCCAAAAGCTTTATAGAAAGCCACCAGAATAGAAACAAAATTGGAATCAAGGAGAAAATGGAACAAAAGGAAATTTGTTAAGAGAGTTGAGAGGAAACCTGTCCGTGAAACCTGAAGTACTGGGTGAGCAACAAAATGAGAAATTGGTTTTTAGTAAAGAGCAGATGGAGTACTTGAGAAATTTATTGAGTAATCATCAAACAAATAATCTAGTAATAGGCACTGGACCTACTTTCTACTCAGGTAAATTTACTGATACCCCATCTAATCTTCAAAATTCAACCAATGCATGAATCATTGACTTTGGAGCTTAAGATCACATGATTGGTAATTTGAAAGTTCAAGCATATAGCCCAGGCCATAAATAAATCTACATCAGAATTGCAGATGGGTCTCTATAAAAGATGGTTGGAATAGCCACTGTATGTTCATCCGAAAACATAAATTTAAATTATGTGTTCTACGTTCCTGAATTAAATTGCAATTTATTGTCAACTAGTAAACTGACCCAAGAACTAAGAATTGTTGGAAAATTTTATTGAAACGTGGTTAAATTTCAGGAACCACATTAAGGAAAGATGATTGGCAATACTAAGGTACACTCAGAACTCTATACCTCTCCAATAATCACACTCGAGAGTACCTCTTTTCTGGTTTTTCCTGTTTTACTTCTTATAATTATTACTAAATCATGTTGTGGCACCGCAAGTTAGGGTGTGATAGATGTCAATTTGCAAAACATACCCGAAGCACTTATCAAATTCAGCCTTATGAAGAGTCCAGCCCATTCTCCTAGATCTATAGTAATGAATAGGGACCATCAAGAATAAAAAATATTACTAGAGCTAGATGCTTTATTTTGTTTGCAGATGATCGTACCAGAGTTGCTTGAATTACTAGATGAGAGAAAAGTCCAAAACTGGAAAAATTTTAAACCTAATTTTACATGAAAATCCAAATTCTTAGAACTGATAATGTCAAAGGAATACTTCAAACTAATCCTTGGAAGTTATGTAGAAAACCAAGGCACTATACATCAGAGTTCATGTACTGATAAGCCTCAACAAAATGGGGTAGTTGAATGAAAAAATTGTCATATCCTTGAGCTAATCAGGTCACTTATTGTTTTAACCAATGTGTCAAACCACTTCTGCGCAGAAGCCATACTCACTGCCACCCACCTCATCAATAGAATACCTTCTCAAATATTAAAATTTATGATATCAGTCCAGAAATTACTCATAACTTATCCATATAACAGAACTGTTTCATCAATCACACTAAAAATCTTTAGGTGCATTTCATTCGTTCACATTCACTCACAACACTGTGGCACATTGGATCCAAGATCAATAAAGTGCATATTTTGAAGGTATACTCGAAACTACAAGGGATAAAATGTTATTCACCTGCAACCCAATAATTTTGTACTTTTTACAGATGTGACCTTCTTTGAACAACAATCATTTTATCCTAAATCTAAAATTCAATGAGAGAGAAACCAAGAAGAATCCCAGATTTGGGAATAAGAAAAGATTACCAAACTAACCAAACTATTCAATAATTGCACATCCAGGAAAACTCTATTTTGTCACATGAACCATAAGAGAAGAAATATATAAAAATATTAGGAGAAAAAATAGAATCTAAATTTGATACTAAAATTCTAAATAGAAGAAAGTTTTCTAAACCTTTTAGAAGTATATTTCCTGTCCTATTTTTGGGGTCACTGATTTGATATCCAATTTTATGAATAATATAATAGTATAAAAGAAAATCATGGAATAAAATTTACAACTTTTTTCGTCAAAGACACAGAAACTGAGTTCACAAATTGGATATGGGTACTTAGATTCATTTGATATGAAAAGTAATAAAATATTAATATAAACTTTTCTTCATAGAATACCTTATATAAGCTTTTGGGAAGCTATTAGATACCATGTACAAAATAACGATAGTCTTTAGCAACAAAAAAAATAGCAAACTAGTATTTGTAATGAATGAAAAAAAATTACAATGTACATAACTGATTAAATATTTATTGTACAAAATATTCAGAATTTAGCCATTCAAGGACGTGTTTTAATTTATGGATTATTTTTCATCTTCTAATTTAAAAGTCTTCATCATTTTTTTCTTATCACATATATCCTAACCTCTAGTTCTAGATTATGGAATGTTTGACATGCAAATCAAGTGCCAGACACAAATCTCATACCCACATTAAAATCGCGTGTCATATCCAACACAGGTATGGCACTAAGATTAAAGATTCCAAGCAACATAGTTCTGATGTGAGAACAATCTCACAATCACATGATCACCGACTAGAAAGGTAACAAACAACATAAGTTCAATGAAGTAGTAAGGAAAAAGGAAAAGAGAATAGGAGGAGAGGGGATATCTTAAGCAAAGGTGAGAGAAAAGGAGAGATGAGAGTGAAATTGGAAGATGGTAAGGGAAAAAGAGAATGGAAGAGAAATATGAGCTAAGAAAGGAATATGCTGCAAATTATATTCGGAAATATCATTTCGATTTATATCATATTAACGGCCTCATACATGCAAAGTGGATGATAAAAGAGGCACCAATAGCAAGTGGCCAACAAATTAGTGCAATATAATCTTGCTTCAAGTTGGCCACTTGCTATTTTCCCTCCTTTTTGTCACTTCAATTTGGGCCAAGAGGTGTTGTTCCCAGTTTGGATCAATAAGAAGTGCCACAAGTTAGACCAGTATGATTAGGGTGACAAAGTAAACCACCAAAAGTGTGAAGATCAATAAGATAAAAGGTGCCATCTTATCCAAACAATAGTAAGATGCCACCTTATCCAACCACTAAGAGCTATGGTGTAATCAAAATATAGTCAAGATATAATGATATTCAAATTCTAATCCAGCTACTATTTCCCATTTAGACCCTAAATACTATAAAAAGATACATGTTAAAATACTAAAATTATATAGTAACTAGAAAAAATTTTCCTATTACTCAAAACATTTAGCATAGAAAGATACTCCTATCTTTTTAACTATCACTCAGACAAATTCCAACTCAAAATGGCATGAGATGTCAGGATCATTTCAGATTTCCCAAGGGGTAGTCTCTCAAGAAGAAACTTTTAAAGTGATTGCCATCACTAATCAGTCTCTGCATGTCAGTCTCCAGGCATCGTATGCACCTTAACTATAACCCAGAACAAACTATCCAATAAAGAAGTGAGAAATATCATCGGCCAAAGCATTTTCCATGTGAAAAATAATGATAGTATATGGCCATATAATTGTCCTGTAACTTTAGAGCGATAATTTCTAGGATCCTCAGTTATCAGCAATTACAACATTTTCTACATAGAAGAGAAAAATATAGTTCTGCGGTAAATTTTCTCGTTCTACTCCCAAGAATGATAACCAAAATTCATATTAACAGAAAATACCTTGAAAGTGTGGATCATCTCCAACAACTGCCCTATCGTCCCCAGTTTAGACGACCACCAAAATATCCCAGACACCATTTTGATTCTGGTAGTGTGCACAGCGATGATTCAAGACAACATCTCCAAGAACTCTAAGACCAACTTCATGAAATCTTTTCACAGTATCTTTCAACTCATCCATAGTTCCATATCTGATATGTATATAACAATAGAAATCAACTTTTTTTCACATGAAAATTATATGATTATTGCATGTTTAGGGAGAAAAAACATAGTTGATCATGTAATCCTCTAACGAAATCTACAATCATTCAAACAAAATGAAAACAATAAACTGAAATACAACACTTAGTATCTAATCAATTAGGAAACCAATAAAGCAAAATTCCCAAACCATAATCCTCCCCACATTTTTGGTGGGAAATAGAGAAATAGAGAACTTCTAATTAGGTGTAAACTAGTTCGTGAAAATAAGAGGAAAAAAAGATTCCAGGTGAAAATAATAACAAACATAACAAAATTGTTATGCTCACATGAAACTAGTAGTGTTACCTTGAATCCAAATTATACAAGTCCTTCGGCATGTATCCTTCAGGTGAAACAGATTCTGTTGGTGGCGGTAACCATATCACAGTAAATCCAAGTGATGCTATTTCTTCAGCTTTTTCTTTCAGTTCCATGTACCATCTTCCAGCTTTATGAGATTCCCAATTAAACCCTTGGCACAATATTTCAAACCCTGTCCCTGTCCCTGAGCATATTTTTGTAGGAGGCTGTTTTACATCAGATTCTGAAACAATTTCCTCTGGGAAAGTTGGAACTGAGCTCCTGAAGATACTATACGCTTCAGCAGCAAGCTTTTCAATTTCCTGAAGAATACTTTCATTCACTGCTTTTTTTTTTGTCCTTTGACCCTTCTCCAAGGAAATGTCACTAACCAAATTCCTTATCTCATTAATGATTCCCTCAGTGTATGCAGCGTGAGAAACTTCTTGATCTACTTCTTCAATATTTCCAGATAAATCTGCAGCTTCAGATTGAGCAAGGAAGCTCCCTGAATTTGAGAGAGGGATGTAAAAATCATTTCCCTTACATTTCAGCCAGGTGTTTTCACTTAACTTGAGAACAAAAAGAAATCCTACAAGCTTTTTTTCTAAAGTGAATAATCCCCAAGATCCATTTCCATCGTCTTTCCGCTGCAGGCAGGATCATCATGTAAAAAATAATTCAAGAACAAGAACATATAAGCAACGTAGAGGATATTAGGATTAAATGATCAACTTGAGATGACACAATCAAGATTTTTAACATTTTGCAACAAAAAGATCATAATAAAATTAAATTACAAACTCTAGAATATGACTATAAGCATAATAATGATTCCAATTTCCAAGCATGTCCCTTGTGCAATAATGTTCAA